AATACCATACAGCTGACTCCAAGGCTAACTGCCAGTGAACTACTAGTTCAGCTTTCTAGCACGGCGTGTAAAAAAAGCTTTGATTTCTCCAGACTCCATGGAGAAGAAATAACTGCGGGAAAACATCTCTCCCTGCTGTCCTCCCATCCCAACGCACACAGTCTTCCTTTGGGCCTAAGTTGAAGAATAACTTGACAGAAATAAGCAAATTTTTTTGCATGTAAGGCAGAGCTGAGTTGGGACTTCTGAAATCAAATACACATGTGGTCACTTCATTTATTGTAGCTCAGCAGCACCCACTGAATGCTGGAAAGCCCATGTGTCAGCCTCTGCCTTGTAAGACAAACACAGAAATGGTGAGATGAAGAACACAAAGTAGAGTGTCAGCAATACTATAAATGGCCTCTGTGAACAGAAGAAAAGGTTTAGGGTTGGTTTTTTTTTTTAGGTTTTGTTTAAGTGTAATAAATGGTATAGAGGTGAAATTAAAGAAGAAAAAAAAAAACAATTTTCCTACGCAGACACCATTTCTTTTTGTTTTCATGGAAGAATATTTTAGGGTTTTGTAGTTATAATGCAACCTCTACAATTTTTTAAGTGAAAGTGCCTCCCTATTGTAAGAATTAAATAAAGCAGCATTTGCAAGTTTCTTTTCATTTTAAGTTGTATTTGAATATCTTTATTCATTTTCACTGTGCAAGACTTGTTCTAGTGGTCAAATGGCTTACTCAGGAGATTGCGATAATATTCAGCATCGAAGAAAATAATTGCCTCAAATTAATATGCTATCCAAATAGGCATCCATATTCTGTAGCTAAATTTTTATGTTTATTAATTGTTTACTATTGCCTGAGGAAAGAAAGTGTTGCTTAAAACTACCTGTGGAAGAAAGGAGATCCATGAAAGTTTTTGATTCCTATCTTTTTTGCTTCATCAGAAGTATTTAGTTGTATTTTTAGGCATAATCATTTCGGCAAGGGCTGCTCAGGGTTTATACAGAATGGCTGGACCTGCTCTGTGCTTTTTCAGCTCCTGTGCACCAAGTGTTACAAATCAGTATGTCCTAATTTCCTTGAAAATGAAATCTAGTCATGGAATTCATTATCATTTATACTAGAGCAGCTTCCTGCTTTACATGCCTGATTGAAGCTTACTTTACATGCTTTAACTCCTGCATGTCTCCTGGTAGAGATAACTGGCTAGATCGAGTGCAGACACCTTCACTATTGATATTCAAGATTAACTCTAGAGCTGTCATCTTCAAAGAAAGAGAGGCCAAACACATTCTCAGTCATTCCAGTCCTGCTTATCACTGAACAATGCACAGATGTTGGTCCTTCAATGTCATTAGTCGTATATACACGCTTAATATTTTGCTGCCTCAGCAACCTTGTTATATCCCTGATTTGGGAGCAATTTCATGTTTCATCTGTCAAAAAGAACAGTTATGTACCAAAAAAAATAGATACAAGGAAAACCATAGGAGCTAATACCAAAAGGGTAAGTAGGGCATCACTTTGTGAACAAGAAGAGAACTGAGATACTCAGACTCTGATTTTGTCCCACATTCTTTTCCTGACCACAGTCCTGCAGCACCAGTTGAGAGCTAAATGACCCTAGCTTCTGTCATTTTAGATGGCTCATTACCTGACGTGTTGGTGCAAAAGCACCAACAAGATGGAAACACTGTTGTACTGTCATTGGAAATCAAAATTAATGTCTACAGAATGTCTCAATCCAAACTACCTACGAAACCTTCACAGTAACGGGGTTTACCATTCTTGTTTTTAAAAAATGCTTCCTATTCACAAAACTACTGTATCCCCATTGTTGCACTGGGCATATCCTTTTGCTGCAAGGGTGATTACATTTCAGTAGGAATATGTGAATAAGCAGCTAAATCATAAGCTGGTTCTGAGTAAGGGAGCTAGTATGTTGCTTATAGGCACTTGAGTCAATCAAGTGGTTGCAAACTGATACAGCTGTATGTAATTCAGGACTTAATTATGTTGCTTTTAAGAAAAAAAAAGTTTGAGGGTTTTTTTGAGGAATTTGTAGCGTCTCAGCAAATTAGGAATGTAGAAAAAACCCAAGTAAAAAGAAACCAGTATCATGCAACACAGCTTTGCAAGGTCACAGATTTCTG